GATGAAACTCTTCCACAGATTCAATGATGTTCATATCAGGCAGCGACGAAGAATCCACCAATGAAACATCCATTTCCATAGCTTTTTTCCTTCCTTTCTTTCCCCTGGCACTGCCTTTGCTCCTTCCCTTTCCTGTTGTACTGGTGACCTACAAACACAATAAATAGAGAATGACAGTGAAATCTAACAGCATTTTCCACATTCTTCCTCTCAATGTTACAGCCTAGTCTAATCTTCTAAATCCCTACTCAGATAATTACAAAACCCCTACTGGAGAACAAGGAGAAATATGAACAAATTATGTATTTCACCAACTGGATTGACTGGTATTCAAGAGGTTAAATACTGTACATGTCTTAGGTGAAATATGTCTGAGTTTGCACACTGTGTTTGTGCTCACCTCCAAAAATATTACTGTAGCAATATTTTTGGAACGTGCCATAAGTTAAATCATATAATATAAATCAAAAGATTTTTTTTAACAAAGCATAAAGGTAAAATCAGGGTGGTCAACCATTGCATAATAAATTTATTTTTTTGTTTATTGCTGTTTATTTCATATGCAATAGTTGGCCACCCTGATTTCAGAGTTAATATATACCCTGCACATTTTAAAAACTGATAGTAACGCCCACGCATTGTTGAAGTTCACAAGCACAGACAACGCAACCATGGCTCACCGTAGACCAACAATGGCCATCAGACCGGTGGACTAATAGCTAAGTGCCCAAAGTAATACACCAACTCCTGTCAACCAACATTCGGTGAAGTGTTACTAAACATGCTTTGTAATGAACTTAACTTAATGCTCTGAAAAAAATAAAATAAATTATATATATATTATATGATTTAACAAGTTTTTTTGCCACTGATGATGGATGACCTCTTGAGGTCAAAATGCATTTGGCATTAGTGTCCTTCATAGTGTAAACAATTTTGTTTGTATGCATATTTTACATGACATAAGTACCATGCTCTTTCATAATCACTATTGTGCAGCTGCAGAGTAACTTAATCTATTTATTACAAAGTATAAAAATATTTTCCAGACTCATGTCTATATTAATTTTCAGCATTTACATACAAACTCTCTCCATGCTCAATGTGACAGTATTAAAATTTCATTGCCTCAATTACACATAATATAACAAAATAAAATGTTTCTTCAAAAAATCTCTTGTTGCAGTTAAACATATATGATTCCCAAGATCAGTTACCTGTGCTGTTGGATCCAAAAAAGGCAAAACAAACATACTGTCTTGTAGCATACAATGAGGTCCTCCAGAACACTGTTCAGTGGCCATGTGCTGTTGAACAATGGCGATCCGGTCTTGTAGTCTTGCAATCTGAAAATATAGCTCAAAGTTAGTGTCCATGTAGAATTTAATTAATATCGAGTTCAGGCAATGAATAATTTCATAAACAAAAATAGCTTCTGAAATGCAGAGTAAACAAGGAACTACCAAACCCAATGTATTAGAAACAAGCAACTTAAAAAAAAACATTTGGCTCAAGCTGGAAATAACCAGATTACTGTACAAGAATTTTGAGCACACAAAAATTATAGCAGGCCAATGGGTTAATTTGTAAAATACTAGAACCAATGAAAAAACCAAACCTCAAGATCCAACATGGGTTACAATCACCTAATAAACACATTTCCAATTAATACAAAACACAATATGATCTGGTCACGGTAGGACATGCAGCAAATTTAAAGTACCTCAACTAAAGGAACTGGCTTACAGAAAATAAAACTGTATGCATGAGGTACACTAAAAACAAAGATTTCACAATTATTACAACTGGTTGCCTACTAACATCATCCATGTGGTGACAAAAACACCACCTTTGGAACTTGTACTTAAAAGATTACAACTTACCAGTCTTTATAATATTATCCTCCATCTATGCCTAGATCTTCCATGTGGTCTCAGGTTTTTAACTAATTTAAGGAATTTTAAGTTCAGAAGGTATAAGAATTCTATTTATATAAACAGGCAGAAAATACTACACAAATGTCAAAATAATGAGTCAGTTGAATACCAGGTGCTGCATTCCAGACTAGCATGTCTTCACCAGCAGTTAACCATTTCCACTCCTATGTATACTATCAGCTGGTTTAAAATGGACCCGACACATCATTCCCTAGACTTCTTTAATCAACTGAGGCAACCATTCTCTCATATACAATAAATTGTATAAACTAATTGAGAAGCACCTCACTTTGAAATTTTGTCCACCCTCCTGTAACTTCTTTTTTTTCACATAATGCTCAGCACTCTCATCTTGTGGTTCTTCCCTTAAAGAGCATGACTGAGGTTCACACTTACACACTTCCATGCATCTACTGGCCTGTGCCTTCTTAAGTCAATCAGTTTGGAGAGCTGATGTATAAAGTGCTCACCCTTGTGTGCATATCACGAACTTTATTATTATTGTGTACGATTTGAGGTTTTCACAGCGGTGAGTATGAAGATTTCTGTCTTCTGAGTTGTTGCTCTGTGTAGTCTGGTCTACTCCATTCACATTCCACTGCCTATAAAGCTAGCCCCACACACCCTATTGGCATATTCATCGCCCTGATGATGGAGGCAGTATGACCCCTGAAAAGTTGGTTAACATCGACCAGACTACACGGCGCAACAACCCAGAAATCTTTATTATTATTATGATTATTATCTTCACTGTTCAGGAAAGTAACTAAAATTGTAGGTTTTCAAAATGAAAATGAGCATTTCCAGAATGTATCTTTCTTATAATTTCATTATAAACATATTTAGAATCAGTGTTCCTCCCAAAATCAAACTTCTTAACACTCCCAAATCATTCATTATATGTCTGGTTTACTGTTAAAATGTATTATTTTGTTTCATCTGGCCTCTGGAACGTTCTCTTTATTCTTTGTTATTTACATTTTTGCTCTCATATCAAATTATAACCAGCATAAATATGTCACTGATTTAAGTTCTTGATTCTTTTAAACTTTCCTGCTAGCATTTGACAATTTTAACCCTGGACTTCCCAAATTTAATTCAACTTTTCTAACTGAAACACAGATTTTCTTAAAAACTACATATGGCACACATACTGATCCATTATATTCCACTCTGTTCATGAATTCTAAAGTATTAATCATCAGTTTACTGGATAAAATTTTCTTTTAAGCTCACAAAACAGACAGATTAGAAACTGTTTCACTGATTTTTGCCTCCGATTTTATAAGACAATAACCAATTCTTTCTATTTTTGTTTCTTCTCCCTTATTCCAAATGGACAATGTTCATCTATGCATCTTTTAAGT